GCAGCAGCGCCGCATCTAGTGGCTTCAACTGGACAGGCTAACAAAAGCATTAAAATGCAACGACACTTACATCGTCATCGCATCTTGTGCGCCACTGATACTTAATGCACACCTAAAATTCGAATGCAACGTTTTTGCATTCGAATGTGGATTTTTATTTTAAATTCGACAAATATTCGAAATTCGATTTTTTTTTGACAGCCCTAGTGTGTATGATGGTCACAGACTTCATCCAGTCCATTCCATTCACTCAGCAACAAAATCAAACGTGTGATATTTTGAGCTGGAATAGCTTAAAAGTCTGATAGTGTACAATCCTCAGTTGTTTAGTGTACAATGCACAGTTTTTCTTGCATAACTACTTACAAAGTCGGCAAGCGTACGATACCTACTGCTTTAAACTTTGTGTAATGTATTCCAGCCTTTAGCTTCAATCAATGGTCTTTTTAGACTGAGGAGAAAGTTTTGAGTTCTGCACATTGCGGTATGCTTTTATAGTACAATGAACTCTTATCCCAAAGGATTATGGACATTTCTGATTTGTCCCGATCTTGTGCGTTTACCTCCAGGTTCTCATAATCGCCCATCTCCTGAGGATCATCGGTGTCGGGCTCAATCACTCCTTCATTGTCAATTTCTGAAGAAACGTTCACATAGCAGCGTAAGCATTCGAAACTGTTGTTACAAAATAAGAGCATATTCTCCACACAGACATTCGCAAATGATAAATCTCACCAAGCACCAAATGAGATTAAAAATTGACTGTGCAGGGTAAAGCTTTACTGGCAAGTTATCTGGTAGCATTTTTAGGGACTGCAACATATTGCGCCTTTTAACAGCTTCTTTACCTTCAGAAGTTTATGTAGTCACAAACAGCTTCTTTTTTATCTCTACAGTCAAACGATTTCAGCCTCTAGTTTCCAGGACACTACAAAACAGACTTTAATGTTGCTTTAAAGGTTCATTTTAGAGCCTAGATATCAGCTTCATATCAGACGCTGTTGGCATCCGTTTCATTGTCTACTAACTGCCCAAGTTTGAATATCAAAAATGAAGCTGATGTTGCACATTGCCATAGAGCGAGAAATCGTGAGCCAGCAATAGCTCGAAAAGTTTAGTTTATGTTCAGAGCTATTACCAATCCACAGAAAAGGCCAGAGCGATGGCATATGAGGAGCAAACAAAAGATATTAAAGGAGATATTAGAGTCAACATACCTAATTCACTCTCTTCGCTCTCAGTTGGCGGGGCGGGTTCGGGTTCTTGCGCTGCTTTGGGGACCCCATCACATGGACAGCTTCCCTACAGACAAATGAAAACAAAGACAGCGGCAATCTTTAGAAAATATCATAAAACAGCCCTGCCACAGTTGCAGATCACGTACAGTGGCATGGATCTAAAGCACTGACAGTCACTTCAGAGCTTTCACCAATTCGTTTGAGAAAAACTACCATCAAATACACACTGAAATGCAAGGATCTTCACGACAAACCACCAAAACTGGAAGAAATTATGACAGAAATACTGTATACTAAAATGCAATTCTTATAAATGAATGATACTAGTATTATTTTTTGAAAAACATTCTAGATATTTTTCATCCACATTTTAATTTACGCAGTTCTGTTTTGTCTCATTTGACAAAAAAAAAAAAATGAAATGCTTTGTTGCAAATTATGTGATGTATTCATTTGATTATTTCATAATGTATTTAATTTTTAGAGTTTTATATATTTATTTCATTCGACAAATGATAATATTAATAATATAAATAACATGTATTTAATCATAAAACACAGAATCCAGAATAAAATAAAATGGAATACACATAATTTAGGGAAAGATAAAAATGGACTTCATTAAAAGGTAACTTGGAAATGAACAAGCTAGTTATGTTTACATTCACTCTCAAGATCTATGAAACATGTGGAAAGCATTTCTTTCCCCATTAATGGTAAATGAATAGTCATTAATACATCCTTGTATATATTATATATAATATTATTAATATTTACAGACCGTTATGCTGTGTGTGTGTTTGAGGTTGTGTAATAAAGACAGTAAAATAATTCTGATTCTACAATTCTGAATAATTCTTCTCGATTTCTTTTCCTACCTTGCATGATGAGCTGTCATTCTTTGTTGGTGATGGTATGTTTCCTCCCATTCTATAATAAAGTAACATATTTGCATTTTATAGGAGTCATACAGGGATGTTTATGTATCTGTGTGCTCCATTGAAAAGTGATGAAGCTAGAACTTTCTGGGAGCCACATGTCATGCTGGATGCGGGTGTGACTGCTCACACAGACACTAAACTTTGACATAGAAACCTACATTATTACACAGCGCACTTCATAGTTTATCATTATTGTAAAGGAAAAACATAACATTTGGAATCAATACTGAATGCAAAACCATAAACAACACAAACAAGCACTGACCCCTGCAGCCAGCTCTTAAAGAAGCCCATCTCTGGCAGATGCAGCACAGATGGATTTTCTTTGCACAGCTGCACAAAGGCCTTTAACTCCGACACTTTCCGCGAATCCATATTCCACAACACCAACCAAACTCAAGCAGAGAAAACAATGTGCTGGAAAACAAGGAAACGTGCGTTATTATTATTATTATTCCCTTCACACGACGTGTCCGATCAGAGCGCGGGCTTAATAAATCATGCAACGCCAAGGAACTGTGAAATGCAACAGTGCAGGAAATAACCAGTAATTAGTGGTGTACGGGATTAACGCACGCGCTGCATAGAAGCTTCTGGAAATAATGCGCGAGGAAGCGCAATTTGTTACATCGGCGTGGAATTTTAATTATTCTTTTATTCAACGGTCTCAATAAACGTTCGTTCAAAAAATAAAACGTTAATGTTGTACCTGAAAGAGCAAAGTACCTAAAACGCGCTTCCCCAGCAGCGATTTGAGGGTCGCGAGATCGCACTCGTTCCGCACGCGCGAGACTGCGAATTTTGCGCAGGCGGGAATTAAACTACTCACTCACTACTATGACAAAACCAAAACAACAGGGGTCCTTCTGGCACTGCAGTCGTTTTGGAGTAAATGCAGTACATGTCCAAGATCTACTTTTTATGGTCTTGGAAAAATGGACTCGCAGCTTTAAAAATATATTTAAAAAAAACAAATTTAATTAATTAATTATGTTATGAACGTGATTACATTCTCTCTATATAAATGTACATTTGCTGATCGCAAATCTGATTTACTGTGTGAAACAGGGCAGTACACTGACTGCATTGAGACTCTTTGAATAAAACCCATTCAATACACCTTTGTTTTGCTTTTTAATGTGTTTTTCTCTTTGTTGTTATTTGTAGTAGTATTGTATAATGTTGTTCAGTTGTTAATAAAGAAAAAAAAGAAAAGAAAAAGAAATATTGCACAGATATGTTGCGGGAATTAAACTACTCACTCACTACTATGACAAAACCAAAACAACAGGGGTCCTTCTGGCACTGCAGTCGTTTTGGAGTAAATGCAGTACATGTCCAAGATCTACTTTTTATGGTCTTGGAAAAATGGACTCGCAGCTTTAAAAATATATTTAAAAAAAACAAATTTAATTAATTAATTATGTTATGAACGTGATTACATTCTCTCTATATAAATGTACATTTGCTGATCGCAAATCTGATTTACTGTGTGAAACAGGGCAGTACACTGACTTGCATTGAGACTCTTTGAATAAAACCCATTCAATACACCTTTGTTTTGTTTTTTAATGTGTTTTTCTCTTTGTTGTTATTTGTAGTAGTATTGTATAATGTTGTTCAGTTGTTAATAAAGAAAAAAAAGAAAAGAAAAAGAAATATTGCACAGATATGTTGCTCTTCTCATGTAAAATCATAGGAATAACAATTTAAGCATTCTGTCTTTTTCAGAAGGATAGTATGTATATGAAAGCTTGCGCTATACCCCATAAATATGTATAATATCCATTGAAGAGTATTCAAAAATATGATCTCTGTAACTCTTTCTATGGTATTTATATATCTTGTTAATTTTGATGTGCTTTTGTTTGGAAATTTGCTCATTTATTAAAGAATATTAAAGAGAGAGAGAGAAAAAAACAGCCTAGAAGTCGTACTGTTTGGTTTTCATAATTATGAAATGTCCCATTTCAATCAATATTATTTTGTTAAATTGTAACCTGTTTTAGGCAAATTCTATATACATAAAATATAAATAAATCTATATTTGAGATTTTTTCATCTCTAACACTAGAATACAACAATGAAATTACAACAAAGAAAAAAAAATACAAAAATAATAAATCGGTTAAAAAATGTAAAAAGTTATGTTTGATCCACAAAAAAAAAAAAAAAAAAACAAGAAACAAAGGGTCCTCCATCATTCAGAGTCGCAGATTGTAACTGTCATAACAGAGCTGTCCAATCAGAGCGCTGGAGCCGCTCTCACTCCACCAATCGGAGCTCAGAGTCTTGCATGGGGCGTGACACTGTCACCTTCCATGCGATCATGCTTACAGTTGTATGAGTTGAGTAAGAACTTACATGTGCGTTGTTCTTTTTTTAGTATGTTACCTTTAGGTTAACAATCCGAAATCATTTCGGTTCATGTATTTCTAATGCACGCTGTTGTGCGAACTTATTCTACCTCATGTTGAAAGTCGGCGGATCAGTGCAGCTGATCAGAAATCTCGCGTACTTGCGGCAATGTTGCATTCCAGCAGCGGTAAACTGAGAGCCGCCGTCCAGTGCGTTACTCGCTCTCACTGGAGTCCAGGTAATGTATTACAGTTATACTTACTAATTTGCAGGTCTGTCATTCAATGCAACGTATTAATTTAACTCCTAGCTGAGTTTTGGGGACATGGCAGGAACCTTGCTGCTGCTGATGTTTGTGAAGACAAGCATTGTACTGGGATTGTGCAGAATATTAATGATATTAAGAAATAATATGATGTTTATGATTAAGCACTGACGAATAAATTGCATTGGAGATTGCTAGTCACCACCCTGACCTCATCATTTAGCCTATATAGATGTCACTTAATATCTATCTTTTGCACCCCAACAAAAGATCTTGCATTAGCTGTTACAGTCAAGTGGTTTTTACTTGTGTTTCAAAGTTGATGTAATTAAAATTGATACCTTTTATTGTCTTGTAACATTAACATGCAATAGTTATTTCACAATTTAATGTTTCACAAGATTTACTGTATTTCTGATCAAATAGTGTGAGTGTGTGACATGACATGAGGCCAAGTATGGTGACCCATACTCGGAATTAGTGCTCTGCATTTATCCCATCCAAAGTGCACACACACAGCAGTGAACACACACACACACCGTGAACACACACCCGGAGCAGTGGGCAGCCATTCATGCTGCGGCGCCCGGGGAGCAGTTGGGGGTTCGGTGCCTTGCTCAAGGGCACCTCAGTCGTGGTATTGAAGGTGGGAGAGAGCGCTGTACATACACTCCTCCCACCTACAATCCCTGCCGGTACGAGACTCGAACACGAACGCAACCATTGGGTTACGAGTCCGACTCTCTAACCATTAGGCCACGACTTCCCCTTCCCCAAATAAATGACCCTGAAGCTTTGAACAGTAGTGTACATCAAAATAGGGAAGTAAAATGGGTTGCAAATGCAGTTGACTGTAGCTTTGTTTTGTTTTACAGGGTCTGTGTGGTGTCACTGCAGGAATGTGTCTGTGAAAACAGGAGGATGGAAAACCAAGAAAGTTCCTCAGAGATACCTGGGTCAGCCAAGCCCGTACACACACTCTCACCTCATCAGATATGGTGAGAGAAACCGAGATTAGTCTCCTTTTCAGTTTTTTCATTTGAAGTTGACAGAAAATCAGAACTGACCTTTACGAGTCTCACAATGTAGGTTCTTGGTCTTATTGTGAACAATTGATTGTACACATTTTTACAAAGATGAAAAATGTGTTTGTAATCTTTGACTAAAATGTAACAGCTTGCTTCACTTCTGAAACAACTTTCATTTTTGGCTGATGTCACTTAGGCCATGCAGGCTATGTATAATAGCTATTTAGCCCTTGTTATAGATACTACTGTTGTAGATAATAAAGCCTTTACAAATCTTTAATTTAATTAACACATTAACGGCCAATAATATAATGATAATGGAATGCCAACTTACTTTCTGGAACAAATCAAACACATTTTTTGTTGTTAATTGTTTTGTTTCATTTTGAAATATACTACTATTCAAATGTTTTGTGTCAGTAAAAATGTGTTAGTCTTATGTTCACCAAGGCTGCATTTATTTGATCAAAATACAGTAAAAACAGTAATATTGTGAAATATTATTACAATTTAAATTAACTGTTTTCTATTTGACTGTTTATGTATTTTAAAATGTAATTTATTCCTGTGATGCAAAGCTATATTTTCAGCATCATTACTCCAGTCTTCAGTGTCACATGATCCTTCAGAAATCATTCTAATATGCTGATTTGCTGCTCAAGAAACATTGAATATTATCAATGTTGAAAACAGGTGTGCTGCTTAGTGCTGCATGGTTTATGGAAACCATGACACATTTTTTAAAGAATAATTGGATTAATAGAAAGTTCAAAGGACCACCATTTATCGAAATAGAAATCTTTTGAAACATTATAAATGTCTTTACTGTAATTTTTAAGCAATTTAATGTATTTGACCCAAAAAACAAAAAAAAACACGGTAGGTGTACCTAAAACTATAGAAAGTAAAATGGCTTGCTCTGGGCTGTTTAATAGCCTTGCAAATGTCTTCGTCTCATAGGTGAGGTGACGCCAGGTCTCACCCAGACCGAGTTTGAGTTTCGCCGGCAGCGCTTGGCGTCTCTGATCAAGATGCAGGTGGAACGACTAACAGGTTCTGGAGCCTCTTCAAACTCCTCCCACATTGTCATCGTCCTATCGCATCCCATTCGCTACATGACCAATGACATCCCTTACCCGTTCCACCAGAACCAGGACTTCCTGTACCTGACAGGAATTATGGAGCCGGACAGCGCACTGGTGATGTACGGATCGGGTAAGCCCGACCAGGCCGTGTTATTCGTCCCACGGCGAGACCCGTCGCGAGAGCTTTGGGATGGCCCTCGCTCGGGGAAAGACGGGGCAGCTGCTTTAACGGGTCTAGAGCGGGTTCACAGCACAGAGGAGCTGGGTGTAGTGCTAAAAAGCTTGAAAGGTAAAAAACGATCATACATTTACATGCTTTCAAGGTTTACATGTGCATCAGTATCTTACTCTTTTTTTTTTTTTCTCTTAGGAGGAACTATATGGTACGACAGCTCTCAGCCTTGCCATCCACATTTACACCAGACTCATGTGCTCCCCCTATTGGAAGGAGGACAGCTGACGAAGTCTCTCCGACCCCTCACTCATTCTCTCAGAGCCATTAAGAGCCCAGCAGAGGTCACTCTGATGAAGGCGGCAGGACGGATCACTGCCCAGGTAATGAATCTCTAATAACAGTACCGTATGTTGTGGGAAATTACTTTAAAGGAAGGTCTGGGTGATCTTGGGTGGCTTCGTTAGGTTGAGGAAAGTAAGATGTTCATGTAAAGTCTGAGTGAATTGATCATTTCAGTTATGAGGGACTTGATGAAGGTTAAACATGCACTATGTTAAGCAATGCGTTTATCTTCAGGCATTTAAGAAGACGATGGCCATGTCAAAAGGAGACATTGATGAGACAGTTCTCTATGCAAAGGTGAGCAGAGGGACTCAATTCATGCGAACATGCATAAACAGTCAATTTAAACAAAAGATTTAGTGTTTAGCAACCTGTATCCTATTATATATCATATTATATGTTTCTTCAACTTTTGTTGTTTGATTTTAATGGAAACTTTTTTTTTTTAAATAAAATGATTTGTTCTATATATGAAGGTCACATTAAAATGATCACATTAAGAGTTTTTTTAATTGGCTTCAATCATTTAGTTTTATAAGCCTTCATAAAAATGGT